TTAACCAGGCTGCAGTGAATGGATGTGCACCAAAGGACTTTTGGGGACACAAACTTGAGTCTATAGGCCTTAATATATATAACAGAGTACATGAAATCCAGTGGGGGGGGGTGCTATTAGAAGGGTGCAGAGGGTGCAGATGGGGAGGGGATCTAAATATGAACAAAATTTATTATATGAAATTCACAAAATTTCAATTGAAAAAGGAAAAAAATTAAAATTCATTTTCTGAAGCTGTGATAAGCACATTTAAAAATGTATTTATTATTTTTATTTTACGTGTATGAGTGTATTGCCTGCATGCATGTAGGTGCACCTGTGTCATGCAATGCCTGCGGAGGTCAGAGGAGAGCATCGGATTCCCTGGAACTGGAGTTACAGATGGTTGTTAGCTACTATGTGGGTGCTGGGAATTGAGCCTGTGTCTTCTGTAAGAGCAGCCCTTAACCACTGAACCATCTTTCTCCAGCACCAAAAAACACATTTTTAAAGAACTGTACCTAAAGTGCTTCGAATCTTTTAAGTAATCCATAACATTAATATCTTAATATTTGCCAGTAGAACCTCCTCTTTTTTTTTAGAACTTTCTTTTCATGAAGTTCACTAATGTAGATCTTGCAAAGGCGTGGGTACTTGGCCGGGAGAGAAAAGCCATAGTTTTCCCACCCTACAACCCAAATTTTGCATGTTTATTAGGGTGATATTTGTCTTATTAATTTTCAAATATTCAGCATTCACCTCATATGAATTTTATTAAATTTATTTGACATAAATTTTGCATATTATCACTTTTTTAAAGTTTAGATTTAAGCATTTAACCACGGCCAGACAGTAGGACTTTCATTATTATTTCTCAAATAAGTCTTGCTAGATGCATTTTATTTTGAACTAAAATACTCTGCAGTTTTAAGAATAATCTGTAAATGAAAAGCTTAATTTACACCATTTAGAATGTAAGAGTGACTCAGGCTTTGAGGCAGTTCTTTGGGGAGGCTGTGGACCACACTGCCCCATGGAGTTAGCCATCTCTCAGGCTTGTGGCGGGCCTTTGTCTGCAGTGAGTACTGTTCAGGAGAAGGCTGCCTCCCCGCAAGGCTGGGTCTCTACTCAGTCAGGCACAGAATCTAGCAGTCTGGCCTCTGTCCAGCAATTTTATGCCATTCAGGTTTTTTCCTGTTTCTATCTGACCATAGATATAGTCAACACAAGTGTCTGGTGTGGATTGTAAATATAAAAACATGAAAGCAAATTTAACATGCTGTTTCGGAGTAGAGAAAACTCAACCAAAAACAATGAAGGCTTTTGTTTCTGTTTAAATTTTTTTTAAAATTTGTATGAGAGTTTTGCTTGCATATATGTATATATGTGTGTGAATCCACATATGCAATGCTTGTAGAGGTCAGAAGAGGGTGTCAGATCTCTGGAACTGGAGTTATGGACAGTTGTTAGCCACCATGTGGGTGCTGGGAACTGAACCCAGTTTCCCTGTAAGAGCAGCTAGTGCCCTTAACTGCTGAGCCATCTCTCCAGCCTATTTCTGTGTTAGGGTTGTGTACAAATAGTTATTCATTCTATTAGAGAAAATGACTTGCCTAAAGTTCTGCAGTCAAAATATGCTAATGTTTTTGGCGTGTGCTGTGGTGGAAATAATTTCTTTTTGTATAAACTAAGATCCACTTTTATTCTGTTTCTCATTCAAAATGACAGGCAACTAAGTTTTGAATAATAGAAAAATCATATGGCATAGTATAATGAATACTAAAAATCATGTTTAGAGACTAATTCCCCTTGTCCTCAATCACAGGACGCTGGCATTAAATAGCTCCCATTGATACCGCAGTTGTTCACGGGTCCTGTGCCTCGTACACTGGTACATGGTTCATGTTTCACTCCCTGTT